GGTTCATGAAGGGTGTTCTCACTGTTGTGTTCACTGATGGATCATGTGTGTAAAACTGTGCCCTTGCAGTGATATACTTTAAAATACTTTTGGAAAATTACGCAAACCCAGAATTTTGACTGAATTGCGAGACAGACACAGCATGACAAATTTGTTTCTTTTTCCATGAGTAGGGCTCATGTGCTTAACTGGGATACTATAGCCTCATGGGATCAAGGGGAAGAACATTGGAAAAAGGAGAAGTCGAAAAACTGACTTTCAGAACGGTAGGAAGGAACGAAGGAGACATCACATGTCTCCATTCACTAGGTCACAGAGAAGCTGGGATCTTTGACACAGGTGACAGGCCTGTGGACAAATGTTAAGGATTCATCTCCAAGACATTCCAAAAAGATGCCACTTCCTCTCACTTCCTATACTCTCTACTATTCTTAGAGACTAAGGTTCTCATTTTTATTCTATTTATTCTAGGAATCATTTTCTTTTTCTGCTTTCCTTGTCATCAGTAAGCCTCTGATCCCACATGAAAACCGTTTCGAGTAATAATTGTTCGTTACGACTCTCTTTACCGTAAGTGACAAAATACACTTTGATTAGTCTTTTAGTTCATTCATTCACTTTCTAAATTTATATATAAATAACATTTTTTAAGTGTGCGGTGACATATAAAATCAGGGAAACCAACAATATACTTTGTCTTTCCCTCAATATACTTTCTAGTGCTTTCTGTCTCACCGTTTTCCTCACTGTGCTGTAACCATCTGTCACATGACTGCCAAGTACGTGAAATCTGGCTACTACCACAGAGGAGATGAATTTTCACTTATTGGGTTTTCAGTATTTTAAAACACTAAAGTTTACATGAAGCCACTAAAATTAGAAAATTTATAGTATGCTGGTGGAGAAAAGAAATGGGCTTTAAAATAATTCATTTCTGTTCTGATACTCGTCACGAGAATTCCTCTCCACTCCCTCAAAACAACACGCTCCTTCAACAAGTCATATTCCCCTAAACTACTTCACCTAATAAAAATATTAACATCCTCTCACTGGATTAGCTGGAGTATAGAGATACTCCTTAAAAATGATCCGAGTACCTCACTTTTTCTCCAGGAGACCAGGGGCTTCTATGTTGTCACCGCCGTATCCTCAGCTCCTGGAACAGAACCAGGTACAAAGGAAGTATCTGACAAATACTCCGGTAAATGAGACAATCGATTCACTCGGAACTTTTTGTTTCATGAGTCCCTCTGCATGGTATAAACTTCTGAGAGTTTCTGGGAGACATCCCAGTTTTCAAATAACCCTTCACCCTGGCCTGGGGAAACTGATATATATTGCCCATAGCCCACCAATCCAGTATTTACCTTTTAGCGCTTTTCCCTTCTTAACAACATTCCAGATACAAATTGCATTAAAAATTCACTTTATTTCCTCCACTTAGCTTCTTTTGTTCCTTTGACACGACAGAGAACCTTAAGTATATTTGGGTTAACATAAGATTACGCCTCTGCATCGATGCACATAGTTAATACCATGAGAATATCAGGTCTTCCCAGTCTCAGCATCTATACGATTTCTCAGTATTTACTTTTCAGACATAAAACGAGCTAGAAATTTGGCTCCAATCTTTTACACGTAGAACAGCTCACCTTTCTCCTACTGGTTTCCTGGGACATAAAGTAAGATGTAATTGACCACTGAAGGCGTGACCACACTCACTGCATTCACGGGGTTTCTGTCCTGTGCAAATCCTCCCGAGGGCGCACATCTGGCCACAGGCTGGCCCACTATGACTACGTTCCTGTTATTTAGTGCTGTCTGAGGGACCACACAAGGCACCTGCACAGTCACCGTATTAACAAGGTTTTTGTCCTGCAGAATAACGTATTAACAGGTTTTTGTCCTGCAGAATAACATTGGTCTGTGATGAGCTGTGACTCTCCGAGGGAGGGTTTTCTACCTTGATTGAGTGAATTTTCTGATGTTCATTGAGGACTGACTTTGCTCTGAAGGATTTTCCACACTCATTACATCGATAGGGCCGCTCTCCTGTATGAATTCTCTGATGAACTATAAGCTGTGGCTTCCCGATAAAGGCTTTCCCACAGTTGTTGCATTCGAAAGGTTTCTCTCCTGTGTGAAATCTCTGATGTGTCGTGAGGGATGACTTCTGGCTGAAACATTTTCCACATTCGGTGCATATATAAGGTTTCTCGCCTGTATGAGTCCGGAGATGTACTATGAGATTGCCCTTCTGGATGAAAGCTTTTCCACAGTCACTGCATATAAAGGGCTTCTCTCCTGTATGTATCTTATAATGTATATTGAGCCGTGATTTTGTCAGGAAGGCTTTGCCACACTCAGTGCATTCATACGGTTTCTCTCCTGTGTGTGATCTGCGGTGTTCGTTTAGTGTGACCTTTCTGAAGAAGGCTTTACCACAGGAATTACACCGATAAGGCTTCTCCCCTGTATGAAAGATCTGATGATCAGTGAGCAAATATTTCTTCATGAAAGCTTTCCCACATTCACTGCAGACATGACGTTTTCTTAATTTCTGAGATTTCTGACGCTTGATGAATTGGGACTTAGTGAGGATAAGTTTTTGGCTTTCAAGGGATTTCACTTCGGTCTCAATTGGTTCACTGTTAGCACGGAGGAAGGATTTCCCATCTCCAGGAAGCTCAGCACAGTTCTCTATTTCATAGCTCCTGCTCTGGTTAAGTAAAGTTAAATTCGATTTCATACTTTCTCCACGTGAGCTAAATACATCATGATTTTGACATAACAGAAAATGAGCTTTGCTACGATGGACAGAATTATCAAATGTGTTATGTTTGTGCCATTGTTCTAGGTTGTTCTCCAGGCTTCCATCTTGGAAGTGCTCTAGCTCATGATCATCAACTTTCCAGATGCCTGGGAAAGAAAAGAACAATCAAGTCACCCATCCTCTTTTTTATTATTATTATTATTTATGCCTACAGTACTTTGTCTTCCTAGGCGGTCTCCCATCCAACTACTAACCAAGCCCGGTCCTGCTTAGCTTCTGAGATCAGACATCGAGCTTGTTCAGGGTGGCATGGCTGTAGAACATGAACCGTGACTTCACTGGGGCACGAACCAAGGACCTTCTGCATGTAAAGGAGACGTGCTCACCACTACACTATGGAACCACGTCCCCGTCATCTTCATTTGGAAGAAAGGTAATTAAAAAAATACCTTGATATGAGGTGTTCTTTTTAGAGACGACCCTACGATATATGAGTTTAAATAAAACTCCACGTTTAGTGTTCTTTGTTCATTGGGAAAAAACACATAGTGAAAACACACAACTTTGGCTACTTTCTGAGTATTGGCTTTGCCAAACGTGCAGAGACTGTAAAACATTAGCAATTTACTGTAGCAGCAGACCATGGGTGGGAGGCCACCTCATCCCAACTGGTGGGAAACGGTCGCTCTCTCCACGTTCCTAACCGATGGCTACTGTGGACGAGGCGTGGTGCTAGGATGCAGACACAAAACATAGTCCTCACGTTCACGGAGCCTGCGCCGCACTTCGGTAAAACCACTCAAAGGGCAAAGGCAGACATGAGGGAAACAGCGACACGTTGTGAAAGCTGGAGGGAAGACACACAGGAGATGGAGAGGGACAGAGGAAATCAGGCCGCATTTGGGAGGCCAGGACTCACTGGTGGATGCACTGTTGTGGGTGGGATGGCGGGAATGAACAATGACACAGCGGAGCTCCTAGTGCATCTAACATATAACTTAACCTCGGAGAGGTGTTCCATTTTGTCCAGGATGAACCCCAGCCTCAGCACTCAGTGTCCTATTATGCTGACTTAATTTCATCACAGCATGTTTCACCCCATCTACATACCATTTACTTTTTAATTTTGATTGATTTTGTATCTCTTTAGAATGAGAGCATTTGGTTTATTTGTATGGTTTTTTAAACTGCTGTTATACCCCAGCTTATTTTAGGTATCAAAAAATAATTTATAAAAGGGTGAAGGAAGCAATCACATGTGTAAAACACATTAGTTTAGGAGAGATGATGGCAATCTCTGTGTGAATAAGAAAACTACATCGCAGAGATCACTGAAAGAAAAATTTCACGTCATGTGAGAGGTAACATGGTTAATTGGGACTTAATGCTCTCAGAATATGATGGGACAAAAACGAAAGCATTCAGGAAGTAGTAAAACAGTAGTTATATCTATGATGCTCCTACAATGTAAAAGGGGTGTCCCATCAGAAGAGACAAGCACGGTGGCACTGCTTACCTGTCCTCAATCCCTCTCACCCCTGTGACTCTTCTCTCAATGACTAGAATGGCATTTCCACGCCTGTCCCTTGCTGGTTCTGGTTCTCCACATACCTGAACGGGTTCGAGAGTAGACTCTGTCTGCCATTGTCCATGGTGGTTCTCCTCGATCTAGCCTGGAGAGTGTGTCTGGTTTCTTGGCTTGACAACCTGTTCATGGAAAATGATAGAAGACTTAGATACACTGAATTGGGCTTGTGGGTTTGAAATCTGCAGAATGTTACATCTGAGGACAAACAATTCTCACACCTACAAAGACAAGGCTCCTCTCTCAGGATAAGGGAGAATACAGCCATTTCTCCGAAATCAAAGTGGGCACTGAGATGCATCTACCACTTCAGGGCATCGCGGACCCTCCAGAGCTTTCAGGAGCTGAGGAAGGAAAGATCACTGACCGGGCACCCTCGGAGTGACACAGGGGAGCTGTCCTCACCCACTGACACCAGGTTGCTGTAGTTCTCCGACATCACGTCCCGGTACAGGTCCTTCTGAGCGGGGGCCAGGAGCTGCCACTCCTCCCAGGTGAAGTCCACGGCCACATCGTCAAATGTCAGGGACTCCTGTAAGAACACCGTGCGGTTTAATGGAGTGATGTCCTTTTGAAGATATGAAAGAAATGTTAGTTTTTCTGCTCATTTCCACTTTATAGGCAGCATCTAATATCAAGTGGGCTTTTAATACATAGCTGAAGCATCAAATGCCTGAAAATATAACTGTACATTCAGTCATCTATGCAATCATCCGAATAGAAGTTTCTATAATGTGTAGAAATGTTCTAGGTAAACTGGAAACATCGCATTTATATGTAAATGAGACAAAAGAGATATACATATCTGCATACTTTCTGATTGACAGAAGTGCTTTTTTTTATAGGCCTCTTCAAACCCATTAGGGAACAAAGGAAAGAATAAAAGAAACCCAATGTCACCTGGGCCTGGGGCATTTTCTTCTAATTTCTGAAAACAGCTCACAACGACGAGGCTCTGCCTTGGTGTCTTCTGGAACCACTCTAAATTTCTGTCTCGAAATCTCAGTCTTCAGTCAGGTGTCTGTCTCCCTGGACATGCTGACACCCAACCTAACTTCTTCCTCTCTCAGTTGATTCTTTTGCTCCTGGGTGTCAAGCTACCTGTGCATTGAAAAAATTCAATTTGAATGATTCGTTTCAGCTGGACCCAGATGCTACAATGTTCCTGAGCGCTCATCTTCACACATGCCACAATATCTGAGGTAAGTGTCCCCCTTTACACGGGGTCCTAAAAGAATTTATACCTCTGGCCAGTAAACTAAAGATTCTGTTGTGGGAGAGGTAGTCCTTTTCTGTGGATTTAAGTGGAGTGACTATGAAAAGAGAGGAGAAAATGACATTGTAGAGTCAGAATAATTTTTGTCTTCTTCCCTTTAGGTCCTTTGGCTGGTCTAATAATTAAATTGGTATAACACAGATTAACAAGAGAAAAACATTCAAACATTTAGTAACATTTAGTAACATTATATTGGGAAGAGATCCGGGAAAACTGAGTAACTCAACAAATGGCAGAAATCATCACCTTAAAAAACACCTTCAACTAAAGACAAAAGATGCTGGGGTGGAGGTTGTTAGGGGAGGTTACCAGGAACAGCACAAAAACAGGATTAGATTGTTAGGCGAATTGAAGTCCTAACCTTCTCCACTGATAGTGAAGGTGGGCCAGGTACACTGAGGGAGACGCCCTTATAAATGTAAATGTCCTTTACTAAAGGAAACTTCTACTAGGTTTTCAGAGCTTCTCTCAGGACTGCAGATTCTTAACAATAACTTAAAAATACATATACTCTAAAGCAGTAGCCAACCTAGAAGCAGTAAGCACCCCTAGCACTCAGATTTTGCTTTTTAAGTACTATTTTCCACAGGAAAAAGCAATG